AGAATAAAACAAAAGAAGGAGTAAGAGAAAAAGATAGAGAGGGAGAGGGAGAGATGAGGAGAGTGAAAAAAGAAAGAGGAAGAGAAAATGGATAGAGAGAGAGGAAGAGTGGGGGGAGAGAAAGAAAGAAAGAGAAAAGTAAGAGAAAAAGATGGATATAGAGAGGAAGAGAGGGAGATGAAGAGAGAAAGGAGTAAGAGAAGATGGAGAGAAAGAGAAACAAAAAGAGTAAAAGACAATGGAGAGAAAGAGGGAGATATATAGAGAGAGACAGACAGACAGACAGAGAGAAAGAGATGGGGGGAAGGAGAGAGAAACAAAAGGCAAAAGGAGTAAGAGACAATGGAGAGAGCGAGAGAGAGAGAAGAAAGAGAGAAAGAGAGAAAGAGGGGAGATGGAGAGAGAAACAAAAGGAGTAAGAGAAGATGGAGAGAGAGAGAGACAGAGAGATGGCGAGAGAGAAACAAAAGGAGTAAGAGAAGATGTTACTATGATTATTATAAATGATGAATTAGTATTTGTTGTAAAGACAAGATGTGTGACTCCGCCCACTGCTGCACTGAACACAAGTTTAAATAAGGCACAGAGAGTAGCTGTGGGTACGTCTGAATTATGACAGAAAAACAGCATTAAACAGGATCCCAACACAAACTGTGTAAAGAACAACACAACTGAGTCACAAAGTCCACGTGTGAGCACCAGGAACAAATCTACACCAACCAAAACACGATCTCATCCCCATGTGTGTCAGATGCCCTCCCCATGTGTGTCAGATGCCCTCCCCGTGTGTGTCAGATGCCCTCCCCGTGTGTGTCAGATGCCCTCCCCATGTGTGTCAGATGCCCTCCCCATGTGTGTCAGATGCCCTCCCCATGTGTGTCAGATGCCCTCCCCATGTGTGTCAGATGCCCTCCCCATGTGTGTCAGATGCCCTCCCTGTCTTGCTTCAGTCTTTTTGTCAGTTCTTGTGGACGCATTTAAAATGTGAACTTTGAACAGAATCATATTTTTAAAACATAAACCTAAATCTAAGCACAATTTTTCCCCAAACTACATTACCACAATGAAATAATTATTCCCAAATATTCTAGAATAAAAGGAGAATGAAACGATGTGTATCATGAGGCTGTAATCATCACCAAATCTGTATTTGTCCATTGAAATAAACACAAGCAAAAGAGAAGCAGTAAGTCTGAAACCATGAGCACTTTGAAGAAGACATTTGAATATTTACTTTTTGTTCATTTAGTAGATTTTGGTTTTCGATAAACACAAAACTGAATCTTTTTGAGATTCTTTTATAATGTTGTTTCCTCTTCACAAACACACCTGTAGGTGTGTTTTGTTTCATTCACACATGTTTGTCTTTATTATTAGTCTGTCTACATCTACAAAGCTTAAAATGCTCTGTTCCACCTTGTGATGTCATGAAGTGGGAGTTTTCAAGTTAACAGCTCTTTTTAAGTTTCGTTCAGTAGAGATTGACAAGCACCGAAATGATCTGAATGATGTGAAGGTGTGTGGAGTTTAAAAAACACAGTGGACCACTTCCTGTATTACCACATGATGACATCACGAGGTGGAACAAAGAGATTTCTGTTTGAGGGAAGAGCTCAGTCTAAATACGCAGGGACTGTGTGGGAAATGTTTGTGATGAGGAAACGACATTATAACCAAGATCAGAAAACTGTCCTTTAAATCTCATTTAATTTTCTTTTTTTTTTTTTATTTGAGACAGGGACAGCGCACAATTTTTACAGTACAATTTGTGCAGCATAAATGTCACTTACTGCCTCAATTTAATCTTTAAACACTCGTTTTTGGCCAGTATAGACTTTTTTTTATTATAATAATACAATGAGCTACAAAGTCTAATTTTGGTTATGCCAATATTGTTCACTTTTTTAATCTGCATTGAAAGAACAGTAATATATATTTTTTCATTTCAATATAAAATCATTATTCTTAAAAACACTGCATGTTACACTCGTGGGGTAATGTTAACAAAGGCAAACTTCATTAAAAATCAAAGTCCTGTAAAATGTGTTTTTATGTATTATTTTTGAAAGCTTAGAACATTTAATATCATTTGGTGTTGGGTCTTTTTAACAGTCAGTAAAATCAGATGTTTGACTTTAGAGGAAGAAATGACACTTCTTTATTATTATTATTAAATTGCAGTTAATAAAATAAAAAATAAAAATTTAAATTAAATAAAATTGTTTATGCTCATGAAATAAATACTGTAAAACGTGAATTTTGTTTTTGTAAATGTAAAAATAAAATACATTTTGAAGTAGGTGTGGTACTTTTTGTCTTATCTCTAATTGAACAGCGCTCACGCACCTGGAAGTTCCCGGATGTCCGTGAAGCCCGTGGAGCTGTCAGAATCTCCCGCGTGGACTCCGCTCCTCTCCAACACTCTTCAGTTCTCCTCAGAAACACAACAAACTGTGCCAAAGTGGATCCACACCTCTCCAAACGCGTGCCACATGTCTCCAAAGCGCCTTTACGCACGGGGACGCACTGACACACGCGCGCGTAACGTGTTTTTTTTAGTCCAGGTCAGCCCGGCTTTAGTCCTGTTTGGTCACGGCTGTGCGCTCACGGTCCATCCCAGCCTCGTTTCGCTTTTGAGAGTTGCTTTTGAGATTTGCTGAAGCCACGCCCCTTACGAGGAGGGACGCGAATCTGGCGAATCATGCGTAAAGTCAAACCAGCTCCAAACGCCAAAGTACTGCTCTGTATCCACGGCGCGCGCCACTCTTCCTCTTTTTTCTTTCTTTTTATTTATTTATTTATTTTTTTTATTTTTTTTTTTGAAAGGAAATAGTTAAAACGTTTAAGCTAATTAAAGTTTAAGCTCATTTGAGTCGTTGCTTCGATTTTTGGTGAATCATTAACCGATAAAAGCAGTAAAAACAGAGGCGCGTGTCAAGTGCACGGAGACCCGCTGCGGAGAGAAAAACAGGGACTGTACAATACAACAGGGGAGATAACATTCTGTGCAGGTTATGGCGTGTTAAAGGGCCCATAGTGCATTATTTTCTGATCTTTGTTATGTTATTTTAATGTAGTTTCCTGCTCACAAATCTGGAGTTGTGTTTTGTTTGACAGAGTAATAATGCAGAGTTACTCAAACATGTGAATCAAACAAAAAGTCCAGGTCTGTTTTTGAGGAGGTAACAAAATTATAACATAGTTAAAAGCTCACAAGAGTCAATTTTGCATAATAGAGGAGGACCTTTAAAGCCACACTGTGTAACTTCCCCTGTATGATGATGATCATGTCACCTGTTATAGTTCCAGCAAAATCTGTTCTTTTTGGTCATATGTTAAAATAAAACTTTGATTAAAGTCTAACTGGAGTGACCAAACATCCCTGTTTATCCAGGACAGTCCCAGTTTTGAGCCTGTGCCTCCTGTCCCAACAGATTTATACTAAACCACTGATTTGACCCAGTTTAAACAAGAAATGTCCCAGGTGTCCCTAGTTTTGTCCAATTTGATCCCTGCAAACAGTAAAGAGAGACATACATTGTCATTTGTGGAGGTAAAATACAGAAAAGCTGCTTAAAAATGACCAAAACACAAAGAAAATGTGACTGTACTGACACATGGGCCCGGTCAAGCAGAAGTAAACAAGGCCAAAAATTCAAGTTAATTCATCTGATATAAAAATGTATTGAACAGATACATATGTACTCTAGTTTATGAAACTGTTGACCTTTTTTCTGTACCATTTTTGGTTCTAAAGTTCCATATGTTTTAAACAGACCATGTATGAAACATGGAACAAAAATTATTTCCTAAATTTTCAAAGACCTGAAAATCATGTCAATAAATGGATGTATTTCATCATATCTTGTGTTATTCCATCTTTGAACTGTTGATGAAGGTACATGATTTTTTTTTTTAAAAAAAAAAAGTATTTAAAATGATAAAAATTTGCTTGGAAGGACTGACATATTTTATAGAAATAGTTTCTTTTCATTTTGAAGTAATATTAAAGTATTCAGAAGAAAAAAGCTGATAAATGATGTAAAATCCTGCACCTTCTACTTGTTTGTACAATTTTCCCTCCATTGCTTTTCCCTCCGTTACCATGACCTTTCTTCATAAAAAATCCCATGACTCAAAAAGTAAGAGGTTTTTCAACCTAATCTTGTACCATATGGTAGAAAACTATATGAAGCAAATATTCAAACCAGTTTGTTAAGGATATGGAAGTGAGAACCAAGAGTTATCACTGTTTGGATTTATTGCCCAAAAAGTGCTGCATATTTCATTCCCTCCGTTACCAACATGAGTTTTTTAATTTTTTGTCAACAACTTGAAAGAATATCACAGGTTTAACTTGACCCTGTTGGAGTGTAACTCTTTCCTACATTCTGATACTTTACTTATTTCAATAGTCCCTCTAGTTTCTGAATAAGAGACATTTGAATGTCAAAAATCTGCCCCTGTTTCCCTCCGTTACCACTTGATCAGACCCACATGTCAGGGCCTGTTTACATGAGAACACTTGCGAGTAAAAACGTTAAAATATTTTATAGGAAGTGTCTTTCGTTTAGACGGTGACGGCGTTTTTGAGGCTTAAAAACACAAAAATCTGAAACCATTCTCCTGAGTGGAAAAGTTCAATATGCTCCACTGTAGTGTTTCCGTCGACACTGCCCAAGACTCAAAACTCTGGTACGCATTTACATCACATACAGTACACAGAAACCTGGCATGTATACACAATTGAATTCTACACACTTTTGCGTCTCCATGTGCACACAGATTTCCTCCCAAAAATGCTTGTCTAAACGTGGAATAAAAAGTGAAGACATTCTGTTCAGACTCATCATATAAACGTAGGCTTAGTCATAAATGGGCCAAGTGCAAAACAGTTTTACTTAATTACGCACTTGTTTTACAATTTTATTATTACCAACCACTCCAAAAGGGGGATCCCAGTCCTGTCCCAGTTTTTGATTTTCTGGTCACCCTAAAGTCGAGTAACAGAGCTTCAGACAGAGCAGTGCTTTCAGTTAGCTTCATTCCTCCAGAGAATGTTGCTGACAGCTGCTGTAAGACATCAACAGCAAAAGGAACAACATTTCTGTTTGTGGAGATACAATCCTGCTCACAGTAAAGACCATGCATGCTTTTCTCTGCAATATGTTGTTTCTTTACACCAGTGGTGTCCAAACGTTTTTCATCAAGGGCCACATATTTAAACACAGATGAAGCGGAGGGCTGATCGAGGCCGTAGACTGGTGCTCAGTACAGGGAATCATTGAAATATGTACATGTTTAACATGTTAGAATGAGCCACCAGTCTTTATTCATGCTAAGATCCTTAAAACCACACACTATTATTTAAAACTTAATTTTATCAAGGTAGATTTTCAAAAAACTTGCAGTAAAAAGTTCATTTTTATTTGATGCAAGGTTATTTGGGTCAATTCACCTGGAAGCCTGAGGGCCAAGAAAAATTTGTCTGAGAGCCGCATTTGGCCCACGGGCCACAGCTTGGACATGTCTGCTTTACACGCTGGAGCATGTAAAGATGCTTTGATCATTTTCAACCAGGACAGTCCCAGTTTTGAGTCGGTGTCCCCTCTCCCAGTAGATTTATACAAAACCACTGATATGTTCCAGTTTATACAAGAAATGTCCCACGTGTCACTATTTTTGTCCAATTTGATTCCTGCAAACAGTAAAGAGAGACATAAACTGTCATTTGTTTTGGTAAAATACAGAAAAGCTGCTTAAAAATGACCAAAACAAAGAAAATGTGACTGTACTGACACATGTCAGGGCCTGTTTACATCAGAACACTTGAGAGTAAAAACGTTAAAATATTTTATCGGAAGTGCCTTTCGTTTAGACGGTGACGGCATTTTTGAGGCTTAAAAACACAATCCAATTCCACACTCTTTGATTTTCTGGTCACCCTAAAGTCGAGTAACAGAGCTTCAGACAGAGCAGTGCTTTCAGTTAGCTTCACACCCCCACAGAATGTTGCGGACAGCTGCTGTAAGACATCAACAGCAAAAGGAACAACATTTGTGTTTGTGGAGATACAAACCTGCTCACAGTAAAGATGATGCATGGTTTTGTCTGCAATGTGTTTTGTCTCTTTAGACCATTTCCAACTTTTTCTCTTTTCATTCTTAGATATTTCCGATCAGATCTGTCTCTCTCATCTCTCCGTGACTTTGAATTCACCGAGCGACGGTGGAGCTGTTACAAATGAACCAAATGGTGCAATTTTCTGCACAGACCAGACCCCAGAGCAGTTTAAGTCAATATTAAAGGTCAGAATCAAAAAGGCCCGCCGCTCCCGGACACCCGACACACACACACACACACACAGACGAGGAGGAGGAGGAGGGGGGACGGAGTTTGGGCTACAGTTTAATTCAAACATGACCGCTGCACACACACACACACACACACAGACGAGGAGGAGGAGGTGGGACTGTGAAGAGGCAGAGTTTAGAGTTAAAGGTTATAAGATGAAACATGGCCGCTGCTCACACACACAGATCGAGGGCAGAGCTGTTCGTTTCTCGCTCCACGTACTTGTGCTGTGGAAACATCACCCTCCACCAGCACGGGGTCAAAGGTGACAGGATCAAACATGGCCGCCGCTCTGTTCAACTCTCACTTGGACTAAAAAAGCTCAGTTACCTTCAAAATGACACTGAGCACATTTCAATACAAAGCTACAACTTCTCATGTTGTAATCACTAATAAACACTGTTACATGTTGACTTAGGTTTCATTTGTGAAGCTCGGTTTTATAAATGAAACTGTCCCACTTTGTAACGACAGAACTTTAAATATCGTCGCAAGTGGCACTGATCGGGCCTCACCCTCCCAGCTCAATGTCTCATTTATATTATAACCACTGACTATTGTTTCTTTGCTTTGTCACATGTCAAACATTGTAACAAAACCTGGGGAACTTTGACAGCTCCATTTCTGGAGCCCACTCCCCAAACTGTTTAATGTTAGACAATATTTTCACGGAGCAGCCTTTAAGGTGTGACGGACAAATACGAAAAAATAAAATGACAAGACCAACACAAAAACTGACTGTGTTATTTTGTAAATATGATAATAAACATTTCCAAAGACGTCTGTTTTTAACTCGTTTTGCAGCTTCTGGGTTTAATATTATTGTTAATGTTACACGTGACCGAGACAAACATCTTGACATGCATCAGGAGTGAGTCAAGAGTGAGTCATAGATGGATGGAACAGAGAATTTGATCATTTTTCTAAATAAAACATTGTTCAGACTTGGACAATAAATAAAACGGAAATAATGTAACGGTCATGAGCTCTTGGTAATGACTGACATGACGAGATCGTGGATACAAGCAGCTGAAATGAGTTTCCTCCACAGGGTGTCTGGGTGCTCTCTTAGAGGTAAGGTGAGGAGCTCGGAGTAGAGCCACTGTTCCGGATGCCTCCTGGGTGTCTCCCTAAGGAGGTGTTCTG